ATCCAGAATCGTGCAGCTCTCGTATTCGTCACGTTGTCACTATCACGTGAACTAAGGCGTGTCGCTTCACTGCTTCACAAATCCTCTCCCGTGGCCTGATAGTAAAGTGTACGGCCCAATCCCAAATGGCACACTTCATGTGCACTTTCGGTCTTGTGGACTTACAATGGCTGCCGCGTGCGCGTGTCCGTTAAGTCCGTGAGACCGTAGTGTGTCCCATTTGTCATTTTTAGATCTCAGAAGGGTGCTCGCGAGCGCCCCGTGTGGTCAATTTGCGCCCTTGATGCGCACTTTTGCCGAGCCCGTGCTGATGCGGACTCCACAGCAGACTTCTTCCCGACCTTTTTTTACAGTCTATGTTCCCGACAGTCAAAGCGGCATTACGTTACGAAAGTGCGGACTCAGAGGAAGACCGCGAGTGCTTAGGGTTCCATTTGGGACAGGGCCTCGATCGAATGCACACTTCAGAATCTCGGCGGAAGTAGTAAGTCATCCAGGACCTGTTTTATGAATATTGTGAATTCATATACTTAGCTCACTTACTGTTTTTAACGTTTTAATTATACAAATTTGGTGCTAAATGTAACTTTTCCTCTAAAATGAATCCTTTTTTTATTGCCTGTGTGTGAAGGGGTTGTAATCACACATTACAATGATCCACTTGTCGAGTTTTGCTATTACCTCTGAAGGCCAGTATTCCTATTTCTATGAGAAGGCTCCGGGTCGGATTTTCTACGAAATCCATCGGATGTGACGTGCATGCGCGCTCCCGAGTCTCTCTCCTTTTAATATACAGTCTATGCGACGGCACTGCAGCAAACGACATGGAGTCTGATAACACCAAACAACGACCTGCCTCCAGCACAACACACACTCCAACACAAACTCCACATAAATTTAAAAAACAAAACAAAAATGTATCTGCTGAAGCTCGTCAGGCCAAACGTGAATCGGACCGACTTAGGACGAAAACACGGATCAACATCGGCAGAGCTTTTGAGTTATGGAGAGACCTCCGCTATTTTTATTGTGATAAATTACAAGTTTTCAGATATGCTGAAATAAATAACGGTAAACTGTAATGAAATAGCAAGGTAAACTACAACATATATGAGACATGAAATGAATACAAAAGACTGTTCCAGGATAACAAAAAGTAGGTGCTTTAGGATGTAACTTTTATTTTATTTACTAGATCTACTGTCTAACGTCACTCATACCACTAGTATCATATTGTTTATAATAGGCTACACATTTCCAGACACGTTCAGTACAGTAATGTTACTTCCTACGATCTTACTGTTACACTGAAATTGTTCAGTCTAGTTCACTAACCGTTTTTTGTTATCATATTATACATTCACCTATGTTGACATTGCTGATTGTGCAAGATACACGAATAGTTAGTGAAATGCCTTATGCTAGATAACACCACAAAAGTAACGTTATCATGGTACGAGCATGGAGCATTAGTTCAACGTCAAGCTGATAAAAGTAGCCTATTATTGTAACGTTGCAGTGGGAGTTTACATGAGTTTCCGGCATGTTGTGTGATGCTTTCTCCGGTGTGTGTTGAAAGTCTCAGTGTGGCCGGTACCATGAGTGCTCGCTCTTGTGTTCGAGCAGGCGCAAAAGCACGAGCGCTCTTTTAAAAATTGGTTGCAATCTGAAACATCACCGCTAAAAAATACATATAGCACCTTTAAACATTTATACATAGCTACTGTATACCATGCAAGATTTTTTTTTTGAATAAGTCTCTTACTTTCACCAAGGCTGCATTTATTTGATCAAAAACACAGTAACAAAGTGATATTGTGAAATATTATTAGAATTTAAATAATATTGGTGCACAAGACACTCTTTCTATTATTATTAGAGCTGCCTAATATCTATACTGCCTAATAAGGTTCAAAAGAACAGTATTTATTTGAAATAGAATTATTTGGTACAGAATTATTAACTATATACACACAGTTATAGATGTACAACCCCATTAGAAAGATCCACTATTGCCATGCAGTGTGTTTTTCCCCTGTGGCCTGAGAGCGACAAACCTACAAAACAACACTCAGTTCTTTATGACATAATATTAATAAATCATAGAAAAACATACATTCAGCCTCATATGATCTGTGTTACACATATTCTGAAGAATATTGTATTTGTTTATCAATTTGATGTGGGGAGGAACACACTTTCACAGCTATAACAACAGCTGTTATTATGAGATGTTGAAGGAGAGAAACCTCATCTTGAGTCCTGAGAGTCATCTCGAAATGTAAATGTCTGTCATTTGGAAACATTGCAGTTGAAACATGAGATCATTAGCTGTTAAAGACAGCTGTAAACTTAAAGATAGTCATACTGTGAGCAAACAAGTTATCTTCAAAACAGTTTTCCTTAGGTTTACCATAAATCTACATAACAAAAATAATAATCTGAACCTGTTTGGTATTCTTCAGGTTCAAATATAACAGCCGTTTAACCACTGTAAGAGATTTAGAGCGACGTCACCTGTTTACAACAGTAACAGATCTCTAATAATTAAACACAATAAAATGGATACCAGAACCAAGTACTAAAATTGCCATCCATCATCAAATTGCTGGCCTTTCGTTTAGCTTATGAAATACCAACTGAGGCAATGACATCATGATGTGAGTGCTAATGGTTCAGTTATCTGCCCAACTACTGATGTCAAAAACCCATGCATAACACTGAAGAATACGGTCCAGGATACACCAAGATAAAGTCATTCAATCAACGCGCTACACCCAAACAATAGTCTTTACACCCAACATATAATCATCACAAACAAACCTCTTTATACCAATGGTGAGATATCGTTTTTATACAAAAGTTCAATAAATTAAACAAAGTAGATATTGAGCAACTTACAATTTAGACACAGTATTACCAGTTACTTTGCTTGTTTTTGCAGTGCCATCAAAACCCCTGGGAAAATCATATCTCAGAGTTGGGTTTTGTTATCATGAAATATCACGCATTCAAGTCGGAAACGTAACAGGGAAGTAACCTAAACCAAGGGTTTTCAATCTTTTAGATGCCATAGACCCCCAAATATGATAATTGTGTGATCCTTTTAAAAGGCAGCTACATGTTTTCATGTATAAAAGACCCCATTTATACTCTGAAAAATGAACATTATAAATGTGTCAATTAAATTTGAACATATTTAGTCTCTAGTGTTACATTATTACTTTTTGTCTCACACTGTACTGTTGTATGTATTATTTAGTTATTTAAATCAAATTTATATTATTTTATTTTAATACGTTTTTCTTATTTCAATAAAATGTATTTATTTATTTTACATTTTTTTACAAGTTTTTCTCTAAACCTTGCAGCCCCTGAGGGTTCCGCGACCCCCAGTTAATAAAAACCCTGGCCTAAACAATACAAAAGAATTATATTGTGAACAATAAAACCAAATAATTGCATCTGAATTCAAAATCATTCATTTCTATCACTAATTTATGGTATCACAACTAAATGTTTTTATATACTCAACTTTCCCACTCATAAATACAGCTTGGCTTGATCATTCATGTATTCAGAACTAGTTATTATGATAGCTATATCCAACTCCACTTTAAGGGTGCAATAGATCCCAATGAAGCAAAAGCAGATTCAACTTTCTCAGAGAAAACCCTAGTGCTTCAGTTCTTGAATGAATCCTTTTGAACAAATTAGTTGAGAGAATGATTTAATGACTCAGTCATACAGACACTTGTCATCACCTACTGGTTTAACTATGTAACCTGCAGAAAAGGCTACTGAACAAATGAGCAGATGACTGACAGACTGACAACAAGCTAAGTTCCAAAAAGAAGCCAAAGCATCAAGCTTCGCATGTACGAAAAAAGACTCATCCACTCCAGGTGTTCGATTTCCTCGCTAGTAAGAAAAACCTGCTGAACACACTTTCAGGCAAAATAACAGAACTTTGCTGCCATTCATGAGAGAAAACACTAGGACTGGGACGATGCATCAACAACATCAATATAAAAATATGCCATGAACAGAAACAGCTAGTTTTCTGCCATGTCTTATAATGTGAGAGCCACACTGAACTGTATAATGTTAATAAATCCCATGTTAATCATGAGAAGTTTAATTTACTCAGAGACAAATCAATTTTACATTTTTAAAAATGAGTTGCGTTCATAACAATGAATCCACCGGAGCTTCCGTGGGTTCGAGCTGCTCAAACTGGTTATGATATAGAAGTATTTAAGCCATTTTTAGTTATTTAAAATATCTGATGGGTGAAATCAGACCTTGATTGGAGACTGTGTTGAATAGGCTATATATTGCACTAACGTTACTTATGTTGGGCTGAATTTAGGCTGGACTTAAGGCATGTTCACAGTCACTGAGGACTCTATGTAACAATAAAGATAAAGATATAGTTCTAAAAAATCATTCTAAATATCCACACCAACTATACAAACAGTGATAATAAAAGTCCCAATGCTGTTGGACAAAATATCAGCACTCTTGGAAATGCGTTCATTCAATCAGATTTGAACTAACTGTTGTATAATGGTTCACAACAAGCCACAATAAGAAGGCCGTCCAAGCATAAACAAACCCAAAAGCAGCAACAATGTTGCAAAACAGAAAATTGTTTCAGCCATAAAAGCGCCTCGGACAACCAGAACCTGCCCAAAGGCCCGTAGAAAATGGACTAATCGAGCGCAAAAAAGTAGCGCATGGCCCACAATATGTAGACTAAAGCTCGAGTCTCGCATTTGAAGTGATGCTGCCGCATGACCTTCTATAGGCCACACACACGTACATCAGCAGGGACAGTTGTATGTTTCGGGGAAGCACAATAGACGTAAGGGGCAGACAGCATAACAAAAGCGCCGCATTGTTCATTCTTCCCGAAGGATATGCCGTCTGTCCCTTATGCCAGCCTCACATCCACCTGTCCCGTCCATATTCGCCCTCACCGGATCCTCCACACTCACCCAAAACGCCCGCTGATGTGTGCTGAGAGGCAGCGCTGTGCTGCTGCTGCTCTGGCCGCTCCGCGTCCCCCTGCGCCCGGTGTCTGTGCCGCGAGCTCTCGCTGTCGCTGCTGCTGATGTTGATGTTGCTCGCCGAAGATGCAGCAGCGGTCGCCGTCGCGTCGGGCATCATGCTGCTGCTGTTTCAGCGGGGAAATGATGTAGAAATGGGGCGCAGTGTGTGTATACACACTGGCTGGGTTAAATGAAGGTGAGGGTGAAGTGAAGGTTGTTGTGAGTCATCCTGTTTGCAGCGGGATGCGAGGAGAGACTGACTGCGGCGTGAGGAGGAGTAGGCTACTATGGTGGAGGAGAGGAGGGACAAAGAAGAAGGGAAGATATACACCTCCTCTCTCCGTCTGTCTATGCTTTCAAATACTCTCAGTCTCAGATACAGACTACTCACACAGCCACCTTCTCAAGAGACATGCATTAGCTGGCTGACCTCAGCATGAGTGTATTGATGTATTGATTTATCAAACCTCAGCATTTAATATGTCAAAACTCTATCATTCTTTTGGGCTAAAGGTTTTTAGAGAAACTGTCTGACTTGTATGATATGAAATATATTATCACAATATTTACCTTCATTTGCCTAACTGTAAAATGTTTTTTTGAAATTGTAAATAAAACAAAGAATAGGCTGCTAATTTGACAAGAAAATACTATTTCAGTCTTTCTAACTTCACATTTAATTAAACCGGTTACTTGTCTTTTCTTTGTAATTCTGAAATTTACTAGCAATTTCTGATTGGAAATTGTTTAGGCCTATACACCATTTTTTTTCCAACTGAAACCTGCATATGTTATTAGTTATTAAGTAGCCTAAGTGAGAACAAATCATAATACATTTTTTAACTTAAATGCAGTAAATTGTGAAAATGAACACAATTTTGTTTTGTTTATATGAATGTTTATGCACGTAATTCGCTTTTAAATAGTCCAATTTAATATTACATAGTTTTATCTCATTTAAATGCTTTATAAAATAATAGCAAATGCTTTTAAAAATATTTTAGCATGTCACACCACAGAACATGTCAACCTGCTAAAGTATTTAAGTAATTTACAGTAAAACTGCTCTAATTACATCCTGGTCACATTTTTCCCTCTGTATTTCTGTGGGACTGAAATGAGACAGCCTGTCCGAAAGGATGAAGCAGGGTATTATTTATTAATTAATGCAAAAAATATCTTCCCAGCTGAATATTTCAGTATCAAAGTGATCTATTTTACCTCTCTCTGAACAAAAGAGCATAAGGCATATCCGTTTCTCCTACTAAGATAGATCTACTGTCCAAAGATATAATTGGGATATATATTATATTAACATTGACCAGTTTTAGTTTTTTTTTAATGCAGTTCTGCATTTAAACTTTTTTATAATGTAAGATATTCAAAAAAGTAAATGATAATAAAACACACGTGATCCAAGCATATATTATCTGTAAACTTCACACCACATTTTCAAATGATCTCATGAACACAGTTGATTCGGGTTGTACTAAATTATACTCTGAATTTTGATGAAAAAGATATTAATGTCATACACTGATAATCAAGTGTATAGAATGTAAAAAAAAGAAGGTATTAAAGATTTGATCATCAGATGAAATATAACCAGAGGTTTCTAGACCTTATTGCTTTCGAAAGCAATCCTCACTTGACATTAAACCAAGCAATAACTATATTTTGCTTACTCATCAAGCTCATTACTTAAACATGCACTCTTTACAACCTCGCCACCACCACCACAAAAAAAAAAAAAGAGAAATTATATAAAATAAAGCTATAAAGGTAAACACTGTGGAAGCGGCATTTTTGGTTGTTTGAACTATGGGTATATTACAGTATATGTTTGTTAAATATCCAAATTTGCAGTTCATTTAAATAGTTCTGCTATTTGAAAAATGTATTTTAAAGTGTACAAATATGACATGCTGTCTCTCAGTCTCAACTACAAGTCTTGAATGTAGTCTTAAAACTATACGTAATTGGAATTAGAAAATGCTGCATTAAATAAATCACACATTTTTAAGTCCCTGGTAACAGTATGGCAGCATCAACAGTCTACTACACTTCTCATTTTCTGTTCAATAAAACATAGGCTAAGAGTGAACTATTCCTGAGTGAACTATTCTTTTAAAGGTGCTGTAACTTTTCTACTAAAATGAATCCTTTTTTTAATGCCTGTGTGTGAAGGGGTTGTAATCACACATTAAAATGATCCACTTGTCGAGTTTTGCTATTACCTCTGAAGGCCAGTATTCCTATTTGTATGTGAAGTCTCCGGGTCGGATTTACCGCGAAATCCAACGGATGTGACGTGCATGCGCGCTCCCGAGCCTCTCTCCTTATATACAGTCTATTGTAGACGGTCAGGGAGTTACGTCCGGTTAAAGGTGCACGTTTTTCGGCTTATATCTCAGTCAATCTTTGATCAATATTCCCAAGACTCTAATCGTTCGTAGTGCTGGACGGGGCCTTTCGAACGAGCCCACCCCCGAGGTCCAACTCGCCCGGCTCCCCGAGTTATAGCCGTTCGAAATCGGGGGTCCCAGCGAACGGGGATCCGGTAGGGGGCATCCCCGAGGCCCGCCACTCTAGCGTTCGGGCAAGGGTTCCCCTGGGACCTCCTCCCCCGAATTTGAGCTCTCTGGGTCTTTGCGTTCCAGAGATACGAGCGATTTTCTTCTGAAATCGTGACGTCACCGGCGTCCGCAATTTTGCAGCGCGCCCGATGGTTTTCTGCTAATATCTCCGCGAAAACACCACCAAAAATTATGGAACTTATATGGTTCTTTTCAGCTCGACTAGATGGTCCCAACGAGCTCGGTGCTCGCTGAATCCGTCTAGTATTCGCCGAGATATTTGCGTAATAGACGGTATTGTCTATGAGTTCGAGCACGAGCGCTCTTGTAAAATTTGGTTGCAATCTGAAACATCACCACTAGAGGCCGCTAAAAGTTACATAGAGCACCTTTAATAATACGTTATAAAACTATACATTAAGGCTAATCAAATCAACAAACTTGTTGATAAATATAATTTTAGATTAAATATGCCACACTCAAAGACATTGCTGAGACTAACTGGAACTATATTGAATTTATGATAAGTGAATTTAACAATTCAATAGATGTATGAGTAGTTGAATAGATCCTGTCAGTAGTGTCACACGGAGAGAATTGTAGGGCGCACAAGGGGAGAGACTTTTATTTGATTGACAGTGAAGCTGGCGAATGGCAAGCATCTTTACTCGCACGTATAACGACACGGACCAATGAAATTTGCCTGAACGGGATCAATAACTGACCGCTAGGAAAATAATGCTCACGTGGAGCGACTTGGTAACTAAACTAAACAATGTTTCACACGGGTTATTGATATACTAAACGTATATTAACATGCACTTTGTTAGCGGTTGGAGAAGAAGTGCCGCTGTCATAACTGCTATAAGGTCTCTTGCATCTACTCATGACCCATTTAGGGTTTCTATTACTTTAATACGCACAGTAAACATGACTGGTTTGTGTTGGACAGATCTCTTACAGTGAAGAGGCTCTTGTGTTCTGCCGGGTCGGAGGATGACACTATCTTCGCCGTGTCGTCGGGTCAGGGCAGGTGTGGGGTGGCGGTGGTCCGGATCAGTGGTCCGGCATCAGCACACGCTGTCCGGAGTCTGACCCGAGGTTTCCCCGCAGCTCGGGTCGCCAGCCTCCGCAGCATCGCTCACCCGCAGACCAGAGAGTTGCTGGACCGCGGTCTGGTCCTGTGGTTTCCAGGTCTGATGACCAGTTTTAAACACAGAAAATAGCCTGTTTTTTTTCCACATGATCTTGTTAATACCTTCAGTCTAATATGGGTGATTCTTCATTTAATGGGATCAGGGTGGCTGTAAAGAAAAAGACAACAAAAAAGTCATTATAGTCTTAAGTTCTATTCCAAAAATATAAATAATTTCATTACTTTCACCTTCATGTCGTTCCAAACCCGTAAGACTTCCACTCATCTTCAGATCACAAATGAAGATCTTTTTGATGAAATCTGAGAGCTTCTGTCCCTCCATTGACAGCTACGCAACTACCGATTTGATGCTTCAAAAAGTTCATAAAGAGATTGTAAAACTAATCCATATGAATTGAGTCCAAATTTTCTGAAGAGACAAGATCACTTTATATGATTTACAGATTTAATTTAGCCTTGTATTCCCATATAGACATACGCTCGCATCAGCGCGTCAAGCAGGTTCGGGTGAGCTTATGTTTATGTTCGCTGACCAATATTTATATGTGGATAAAAGATTAAATTCAATCTGTTCATTATATAAAGTGATCGTATATCTCTTCAGAAAATTTGGACTAAACCACTCAATTCATATTCGTTTTAGTTTTTACGATCTCTTTATGAACTTTTTCAAGCATCAAGTCAAAGTGGTTGCGTATTCATATTTATGCATTATGATCTAAAGAGCTTTATTAGGTGTTAATTATATTTCAATTAAAATGATAATTTAGAAAAAAAAATCCATTCACATTTGAAATACATACAACAATCAATAAAATAATATTAAAAAACGCAATAGAAAAATGTAAAAATGTTTGTTCAACTTTTTCTATAAAAACTCACACCTAATTTAAAATCTACACCCTCATACTTTATGCCAAAATTCGTTTGTAGGTTGATCAAGATTTATTACAGGGCATGTGATAAATGTGTTAATGTTGTTGAAACATAGATTAAAGAAGTTTAAAGACTGCACTTAGTGACAAGTCCCCTAACTGAAGAATTAATACAGAATATATATTTATGAAAATGCAGAGTTTTATGAAACCTACACTACCATTCAATTGTTTGTGGTTTATTTGATCAAAATATGTGTAAAATAAACATTTTCTATTTTTATTTTAAAATCTAATTTATTCCTGTGATCAAAGCTGAATTTTCAGCATCATAACTCCAGTCTTCAGTGTCACATGATCCTTTAGAAATCACTCTAACATGATGATCTGATGCTCAAGAAACATTTATGATTATGATCATCAATGCTGAAAACTGTTGTGCTGCTTAAATATTTATGTGGAAACAGTAATCAAAATCTTTTTTCAGGATTCTTTGATGAATAGGTTCAAAAGCACAGCAGTTAATCGAGACAGAAAATATTTTATAACATTATAAATGTCTCTATTGTCACTTTTGATCAATTTAATGCATCCTTGCTAAATAAAAGTATACATTTTTTTTTTTTTTAAAACAACAACCCTAAAACCACTGAATGGTAGAATATATTAAAATTACTGTTACTACAATATACAAATTGGGTATTATTCCTACCAAGACATATTTCACTCTTTTTGCTCTTTCAGGTCCTGGTAGTTTCACGGGAGAGGACAGTGCAGAGTTTCACATTCACGGGGGTCCTGCTGTCATTAGTGGAGTCTTACAGGCGCTTGGTATGTTTAAGAAAGGTCAACCATTATTGTCCCACAAACAGATGACAGCTAGTTGTTGAGTCACCATTTTAACACTAGATGGCAGCATCTGTTTTCTATCTAGCTTCAAATCTAGCTTTATATTTCTGATGCATTTACTCATAAAATTGTCATTTCATGAGAAATAGCACTTTATGTACTCATAGCCTTTATCTTAATTGTAACTTAAATGTCTTTAAGTAGTGCTGTGGAAGAGGCTGCTTTCTAAAGTTCATTTTATTTAAAAGATGTCTTGTTTTGTGTGTGTTTCAGGGAGTTTGCCAGGGCTGCGGCCTGCAGAGGCGGGTGAGTTTACCCGACGGGCGTTCTTTGCTGGAAAGTTGGACCTTACTGAAGTAGAGGGTCTAGGTGACCTGATCCATGCAGAGACAGAAGCACAGAGGCGACAGGCTCTCCGACAAATGGCGGGAGACCTGGGCCGCATTTACCAAGACTGGAGAGTTCGGCTTAAACGAGTAAGAAAAGGATTGATCAGGGTATAACTTATATTTTGAGAACTTCTTTATGTCCCCATATTTTATGTCATCTGACCCCCAAATTAACATAGTTCTCCACGGGCCAAAATGGCACCTTTGTGCAAAAATATTGCAGCGACATCCTAAATTGCTTTAACATGTTTATCAGTAAGAGGACAGGAAATTCCAGACAGATGCTATATACATGCATAATGTGGGAACTGTTTAGTGGTGTACGTGTTTGATGGTTTCCTAATGGTTAGGAAACAGTGCTACAAACAAAAACTTCTGGGTTTTGTGAGCAGAACACTTAAAATTGCTCCAGGGGAACCGTCCCTGACTTCCTGCAGTTAGTGCACGGTATAACGCTTTATACTTAAAAAATGTAAAATACAGGGTTTCTGTGAGTCTTAAAAAGTCTTAATTCGCCCTTACACACATTACAGGCTTAAAAAGGTCTCAAATCAGAGCAGAAAGTCTTAGATTTGTAAATTCATGCCATTCAATTTTTCATGCATTGCAAAAAATGTATATCTTCCTCAGTATATTTGTCCTGTTTTCCAATACAAATATCTAAAGAACTTTAAATCAAGATACATTTACTTGAGATGCACATTCAAAATGAAGTCTGAACAAAATCAATTGATCAATTTTACAGTAAACAAGACTGTCGGTTTGTATCTCGAGTAAATGCATCTTGATTTAAGAATCTTTAGACATTTGCACTGAAAACAAGACAAAAATACTGAGGAAGAACATCACTTTTTTTGCAGTGCGTTCAGAAAATACAGTAGAAGATCGCTCCATATTCCAGTGGTTGGGAGCAGAGGAATCAAGCGACTTTTTTAAATTTATTTTTAAGTAATGATATCTGTTGGAAGTTGTATTTTCAATCTTCTTCTGAACTTTCCCTTCAATAGATTACTGCAAATTTCTTTACTTGGTCTTAAAAATGTCTTAAATTTACCTTTATAAAACCCACAGAATCCCTGAAAATAAGTTGGATGTGCACTACTGTTCAAAAGTGTTTGGGGTCAGTAAGATTATTTTTTTAATTAATGCTTTTATTCAGCAAAGATGTATTAAATTATTCAAAAGGGGCAGTGAAAACATTTTTAATGTTAAAAAAAATTTAATTTCAATTAAATGCTGTTCTTTTGAACTTTATATTTATAAAAGAATCCTGAAGAAATGCATCATGGTTTTCACAAAAATGGGTCACAACTGTTTTCAACATCTGATAATAATCACAAATGTTTCTTGAGCATCAGATCATCATATTAGAATGATTTCTGAAGGATCATGTGACACTGAAGACTGGAGTAATGATGCTGAAAATTAATCACTGGAATAAATTACATTTTAAAATATATTAAAACAGTTATTTTAAATTGTACTTAAAATTTAACAGTATTATTGTTTTTCCTGTAATTTGGATCAAATAACTGAGTATTTACTTATTAATACTGAGCATAAGAGACTTATTTTCCAAAAACATTTTAAAAAAATCTCGCGACCCCAAACTTTTGGACAATAGTGTACGATTTTCACCTAGTGGATTATAAAACGGATTAAAAAAATCCCATAGATTTACATTGAAGGAGGGAACCAAGTCAAATCTACAGAACAGAATATCAGAGAACTATATCAGTTACAGTCAATGGTTACACCCCATATTTATAGCATCAAATAACTAACTAAAACCAAACTTATTGAAAAACAAACACATACTTCAGCATGATAAGAACTCTCTAAAATGACTCAAACCATCTTCGGAAAATAATTATTTGAAGAGTAATTTTTTGTAACTTGGGAGTTTTTTTATTTGGCTCGTGTCCCATTCGATTACATGGAGAGGGCGGGGCTTTGTGACCTATACTGGAGCCAGCCACAAGGGGGCGATCAAAATGTTTTGGCTTCACTTTTCAGGACGTGTGCTGCACACTTGACTTGGACCAATAAGCAACCACCCAAAACACCCTAGCAACTGTATAGCAACATGTCAACAACCAATGAGAATCTGTGAGGAACAAAGCACTCAGTTTTCTCATTCTTCACCTCATATTTGTACAGCATGAAATAAATGCAGTTTGATTGATACATTGGAGAACCTCCAACTAAACGAGTTAAAAAATATGCTATTTGGAAATAAGAAAAGTCCTTGTGTCTCTTTAGTGTGAGGAACAGAGGCAGAGTTGGCTGTTGTACATGATTTATAAGGCAATAGAACACTTGCAAGTGTGTTTATATGAGAGGTTATTCTTTTTTATTTAAGGTCTTTTAAATAATTACAGAATTTACTGCTAGATTGGGCAGTGTTGTCACTCTGTCACGGATGGTGTCCATCTATTGTTTGTGTGTAAGAGCGTGCTGATTGCAGACAGGACATCCTGAGCAGGGTGTGTGCCAAGCCGTCAGAGCCCTCAGGACCCAATGTGATGTTGGCTAATGGTTTGTGTGAAGACTCCTGGAAGGAGCTTTGTGGTCACAAGCACTTAATTTCAAGGAGGTATTTGTTTCCCCTCTATTTAATTCTGGAAATAAACATAGTTTTGGGATTTTCACAAATGTAAAACAAAGAAAAGTTGTGTTGTAAAATGAATAGGAAAAATTCTTAAAATTCTGCAATATTTCTACACCAGTAATCATACAAGCAAATTTGTGTCAGATGTTCTTGCTTCCATTGAGTCAAGTCAAGTCATCCTCATTTATATAGCGCTTTTAACAATGTAGATTGTTTCAAAGCAGCTTTACAGAGATAAACTTAATATAATTTGAGGTAACAGAGATTGGTTTGGTTTTATAGCGGTTCTTGAATAATGTTATTTTCCAGCTAAAGTTAGTTTTGATTGGTTCACTTCCGGTGAAATGATTATTAAATTAGGGGCCGCTAAGATGACACCGTTCTCTCTAAACGCTGATGGCGTTCACATGCGCATTAAGAATTGATTCTATAGTTATGTGCGTTTGAATATATGTGCGCAGGTTTGTAATTCCCTACAAACCATGCCTAAACAAACTACTTGTCTTGCCTATAAATTTTGATACAGAATTTTATTTTATCACTTCGGGGTTGGTAAGTGAACCCTAATTTCAGTGGAGCACAATATGCTCTTTGGATCATTCTCAAAATATGCTGGATAACATGATCATCATGTTTTGAACTTGTGGAGCTCATGCAGCTGCTTTTATTAAAACAAAACAGTGACGTATTAAATACTAAGATGGTCTGATAATCATGGTAGTTTCTCAGACTTTTTCACTTAAATTATGTCGAAAATGTCTATAATGAGACATTATATTCCTCAAATTAGATTTTTGAGGTCAGTAAGTTTAACATTTTTTTATTTTTAAAAATGTAAATAAATATTTTTTAAAGTCTTATGTTGTCCAAGACTGCATTTATTTGATCAAAAATAGCAAAAAATAAAAGTAGTAATATTGTGAAATATTATTATGATTTAAAAGAAACGTTTTTTTTTTTTCCTATATTTTAAAATGTAATTTATTCCAATGATGGCAAAGCTGAATTTTCAGCATTATTACTCCAGTCTTCAGTGTCACATGATCCTTCAGAAATCACTCTAATATGATGATTTGATGCTTAAGAGACATTTTGTCTTATCAATGTTGAAAACAGTATGTGCTGCTTAATATTTGTGTGTAAACCTTGATACATGTTTTATTTGATTAGTTCTTTTTTTTTTTAAAGAACAGCATATTTGAAATAAAAATCTTTTGTTACAATAAATGTCTCTTTTGGTCAAACTGATGCATCCTTGCTGAATACAAGAATTAATTTCTTTCCAAAATCACAAAAATTAAAACTAATTTAAAAAAGAAAAAATCTTACTGACCCCAAACTTTTGAATGGTAGTGCAAGTTACTTAACATCAACTTTGCTAAATATCTAGCTAGTTTATTGAACTGTTGTCCTAGCATTAGTGAACCTCTAAACTACAATCTGTGGAATTATGACTCAGTTGTTGTATGTGATTGTGTTTTCAATCTAGTGCCTGGCGCACGTGGAGGCATTCATCGACTTCAGTGACGATGAACTCATAGAGGACGGAATCTTAAATGACGGTAAGTCTCCTCAAATGGATTGGTTAAAACACTGATTCATTTCCAGAATGTTTTGTGAGACTTTCCTGTTAGTATTGACCTCAGAGAAACCGCAGCAACTGTTGAGAAAGGATCAAAACCATTGAATGTCGCATTGAGAGGCCATATAGAGACACAGTCGTTGTGCCTGAAGAATACTGCATGTACAGTTATTGTCCCTGCCATCATTTGTACAACGTTACTCAGATGTTTAAGTGTTATATCTATATTTCTCTGGAGAATTGAGGGATTCTTTGTGCGTCAAGGAACAATCCTGTCACAGACCATCTCCTTCCTCTGAGAGTTACAGACGGGCTGTAAAGCCACTGATAGAGGTCATGAAAAATATCCTTTCCCCTCCACTGACACACTTCTAGTGTGCAAAAGCTCTGTGAATTTCTACATGTTCAGTATAAATTATGTTTTATCCATGTCCTTTAAAGTTTAAAGCCCTTATGTTAATTTAAACATTGCATTTCAGTTTACAAAATGTAATATTACAACATCAATTTGATAAATTAGTTAGAGATGTTTGGATGTTGTTTTTCAACCCTGATACATTGAACTGAGTGTTTTGTCTGCTGCAGTGGACACAGCTGTTCGGCAGCTGCAGACAGATATGGAAAATCATCTTTCAGATCAGCGGAGAGGAGAGCGCCTGCGCAGCGGTGTTCAGGTGGTCATCGCCGGAAGCACCAACGCGGGCAAGAGCAGCCTGCTCAACATGCTCAGTAAGATCAGACATCGGACATCATGTCAAATATAAGTGTTAAGTTAAATTCTTGCTTCAGGCAGATCAGTGCTTCCCAACGGAGTTGGCTTCAGGCCCCAGATTTTACATTTGATATCATGTGTGTGTGATGACCCAACAGCAGCACATTATCATACAAAGGTAAAAAATTAAAATCTATAAATTCACACACGGAAATGTATTTATTGAAATATAAATAATATATGAATAATGATATACAGTGAGGAAAATAAGTATTTGAACACCCTGCTATTTTGCAAGTTCTCCCACTTGGAAATCATGGAGGGGTCTGAAATTGTCATCGTAGGTGCATGTCCACTGTGAGAGACATAATCTAAAAAAAAAAATCCAGAAATCACAATGTATGATTGTTTAACTATTTATTTGTATGATACAGCTGCAAATAAGTATTTGAACACCTGAGAAAATCAATGTTAATATTTGGTACAGTAGCCTTTGTTTGCAATTACAGAGGTCAAACGTTTCCTGTAGTTTTTCACCAGGTTTGCACACACTGCAGGAGGGATTTTGGCCCACTCCTCCACACAGATCTTCTCTAGATCAGTCAGGTTTCTGGGCTGTCGCTGAGAAACACGGAGTTTGAGCTCCCTCCAAAGATTCTCTATTGGGTTTAGGTCTGGAGACTGGCTAGGCCACGCCAGAACCTTGAGATGCTTCTTACAGAGCCACTCCTTGGTTATCCTGGCTGTGTGCTTCTGGTCATTGTCATGTTGGAAGACCCAGCCTCGACCCATCTTCAATGCTCTAACTGAGGGAAGGAGGTTGTTCCCCAAAATCTCGCAATACATGGCCCCGGTCATCCTCTCCTTAATACAGTGCAGTCGCCCTGTCCCATGTGCAGAAAAACACCCCCAAAGCATGATGCTACCACCCCCATGCTTCACAGTAGGGATGGTGTTCTTGGGATGGTACTCATCATTCTTCTTCCTCCAAACACGCTTAGTGGAATTATGACCAAAAAGTTCTATTTTGGTGTCATCTGACCACATGACTTTCTCCCATGACTCCTCTGGATCATCCAAATGGTCATTGGCAAACTTAAGACGGGACTTGACATGTGCTGGTTTAAGCAGGGGAAGCTTCCGTGCCATGCATGATTTCAAACCATGACGTCTTAGTGTATTACCAACAGTAACCTTGGAAACGGTGGTCCCAGTTCTTTTCAGGTCATTGACCAGCTCCTCCCGTGTAGTTCTGGGCTGATTTCTCACCTTTCTTAGGATCATTGAGACCCCACACGAGGTGAGATCTTGCATGATCTCTTGTGTTTATGAGGATACTCGCCTAGATGGGCATTTTGGCATCATTTTGCGTGCATGTGTACGTTCAAGCACAAATAGAGGCGGAAGAGAGCTGGATTCGGTGTTTGCGTGCCGTCTGTTGCTCTGCGTGCCGTGCGCACAGAAAAACAGTGCGCGAGTTCCAAATTGAGCTCTATTTCGCGTCTTCTTGCACTCAAATGGCTTTAAATCGCTTGAATGTTTAAACTGAATGGTTAAACTTTGCAATTAATCTAAGAATCACGTGCGTTTCGAACCGTGGTGCCTGGTCAGTATGGATCAACTACGATTCCTATACTAGAGATCGCATATCCTGCTATGTGTGACTATCGCGGAGGCGCACATCGCGATACTCGATGCTAAAACGATATATTGTGCTGCCCTAATATGTATGTATTTTAATCCAGTAATTAAAGCACACTGTTTATCTTTGTTGCAAGTGAAACCGCATTTAATCTAGGTTGCATTTCCTTTTATCTTGCATAGGTTTGTTCAGGGTTTTTAATGTTAAGGGGATGTTTTAGCAACCTGACTATGCTAGCTTCTACCAAAACAACAGATGAGTTAGTTCCGAAGGCTTTTATTTCATGTACAGCCTTGGATGTTACACCAAAGGATATTAAACGTGTTTTCCCCTCCCTAAGGCCTTTTTGTTTGCTTAAAAACTATGCACCATTATATAATTAGTTGCAATTTTTAGTTTGGCATCACATTATATTTTATATTTTTTTTATTCAAATGCAGCCTTGGTGAGCAGCATAAAAGACTCCTTTTAAAAGCATGAAAAATTCTTACCATTTAGTTTTTTTTTTTCCAATTCATGGTTTTACTTTAAAATGGTTAAACACATTTTAGGGGCAAAAGTGTCTTATTGTCCTATGACAGAAGGTTATGATTGTGATAAATGCACTAATTATCATTCGCACTCATAAAGTGACACCGTACGGCCTTTAATGACGTTTATCTCTGACCTCTGACCTCTCCAGTAGCAGGGGGGATGTTTGGATATCTCCACACTTCCTGCCCCGAATTACCCCACATTCATCAGGCCTGTTATTGTGTGTTCTGCTGGAACGCTGACCGTCTGCTGCTGTCACTTCCTGTAGACTGTGAATTTAATTAAGCAATTTGTGAATTCTGTTAAAAGCTGAAAGCTTCAAATTTGATGATCATTTAACATGTTATGTATTTGAAGAATTGAGATTTGCAGTAAACGGCGTAGATGATTTTTTAAGATAAAAATGTTATGCTGATTTTAAGATTGATACGTTTTATAAACTCTTTAAGGAAGTTCACACAAAGAGCGCTTGAGCGAAACTGGCCTCTTCCTTCCAGTAGACATATGGAAATGTACTTTAATTCCAGACTAGACCAGAATGGCAAAAAATAGAACACGTTTCAGCACAGCAGTGAAACATTTCTTCAAACTTTCATCCGCTCAAAGAAACCGCAAAGCACAGCACTGGTTTATTGTGTTGATTTATCTGCTGTTATTTTGGTTCAGCGCTGAGCAGCAAAAAAACAAAGACAAAAGGACAAGAGTTGCTAAATGTGATTTATTTAAAGGTTATTTAATTCTAGACCGATCACAATTAACATGCCATTCAGAACAAGACAAAAGATCATTGGATAATGAAACCATTCTATGTTACAGCGCCTTGCTAATGAACGAAACACTTTTAAGGTTTAAAACAACAACTTGTTACCCAGTTACACTCACTAGTAGGGGTGGAACGGTACACAGAAGTCACGGTTCGGTTCATACCTCGGTTCAGACATCACGGTTCGGTACGATTTCGGTACAATGGAGGGAAAAGCAAAACAAAAATGCAGAAGGCATTCTATTTTTTAAATAAGTTTTATTAATAAAGGCATAGAACCAGTTTATTTGTAGTGCACTGACAATAGTTTTATATAATTCGTTTATTAATTAAATTAATAAAAAGACAAAAAGACCTTGCGATATGTTTGGTAATTGTACCTGAATTAATTTAAAATTAATTTGCTATATTTCAGATAAATATATTTGTTTTCCTTAATTTTAATTAACATTATTAATTAACAATGTAACATTATTCTCATCTGAATTATAAATAATTGATTTCTGTATAAAATAATATTACCATTAAAAATGCATTCGATTTTCTTTTTTAATCAATGTAGAATGTGTGAGATTAGTGCTCCGAGGACGAGAAATGAAAACCAATGCGATATGATGAATGTCTAAAAGATGGGACCCACAGACTGTTTTGAAATGTAGTTGGATAAATATGTTTTGCTTTTAAAAGTGTATGTGTGTGTGTGTGTGTGTGTGTGTGTGTGTGTGTGTGTGTGTGTGTGTGTGTGTGTGTGTGTGTGTGTGTGTGAGAGAGAGAGAGAGAGAGAGAGAGAGAGAGAGAGAGAGAGAGAGAGAGAGAGAGAGAGAGAGAGAGAGAGATTTTGGTTTGGTGACAGTTGTTACAGTTTGACAAGAGTTTACAGTGTGACAAAAGCACAATGTTGTGTTTTATTGCGAGTGTACACACATATAAGTAAACACTTTGCAGGTTTAATGATCTGTAAAATGACGGAGTATGTTTTTTATGTTTCCACTGTTCAATCGCGGCCGCGCCTCTCTCTCACACACACAAACACACACACTCCAGCATTGCAATCTTGACATCGCAGCCTGTTCATTATGCGGTCACACCAAACGCGAATAGAGCGTTAAATTCGCGTTTATCGCGTCTAGTTCGACGCTAGTCCAAAGCGAATAGGACGCGCATATAAAGCCAACGTTTGAAGGGAACGCGCGTTCAGAGCTAAGCCGATGGTACAGATAATGTGTCCTTAAAGAAACCCGCGTATCTAACAGTAGTTCCGCATTACATTAATTAGTTTTCACGCGAGTTTTATTTATTTTTATACCGTGTATTCTCCGTGTAAATTCGTGCACCGAACCGTGACGCCCGTACCGTTTCGGTTCGGTACGAATACATGTACCGTTCCACCCCTACTCACTAGACTACCGTTTGATAGCCAGCTAACATCCTCTTACGAGGACCATGCACAGATATCAGATTCTTCAACGATTTATGACCTTCGCATTATTGGGGTACTTTTAACGCAAGCATGCATACATTAAACTTATAAAGTAATATGAGCAAGGGTACTTGCCAAATAATGAAATAGACATAAAATATTAATAGCGGTATGTAAATATGTGACTATGCTGTATATACAAATAACTTGACGTTTTGTAAATATGTCTCTCTCAGGTTTATCAGCGAGCTGTATGATAAGCACATTTGTCTTACCTGAGATAAAGAATAGCATTTACTTTGTTCATAGCACACGGTAGCATCTGGATTGGGGTATTGGAGTAACAGTAACGTTAACGGGGGGTTGACCATTTTTTTCAGTGCTGTTAGGCATTACTTGTGCTCAAGGTCATGAGTTACACAAGTCCTTTTAGATATTTCTACACAAGTTTTTAAATAATACATGGAGTTGTTTACTCTGCAAAATCATGGTGACAGGGTTGACAAGTCTATGTCTTAAAAGAGAAGATATTTTAATTGTCAATTCAGAACCCACTACCTGAAATAATTTATTTTGACAGAATTCTGATTTATAGAATGATCCATTTTTAAGAGGATTTTATGATGGTAACAGTGTTGATGCATAACAACATATAAAAGGATATAACTTGTATTGAGAATTGAGGATGCAACTTAAAGTATTTGTAATAATACCTGTACACAGCATTTAAAAAATAAATAAATTATTTATCCTTTATTTTACCAGGTGATGTCCCATTGAGATATTCAAATCTCTTTTACAAGGGAGCCCTGGGCTAAATGCTAAACCCATGCATGATACATCAGATTATTGCAGCTTTTTGAGAAGATGTTTGTTATTGTGATTACTTATGAATGATCAAATTTAAATATTCATTTGGATGATGATTAAACAATTGAAAAAAAATCCATAGATTTAAACTAAAAGAGATACATTCATAATAGCATAGCTTTTGAAACTGACCAACAGGAGAGCATGTGTATGACGGTGACCTTACAATTTTACTTACAAGTTAAGACATTTAAAATCTTACTTGTTAAACCATTTTAGGCTTGGCCCATTTTCTTTCCCCAGGAGTGTATATCCGAGTGAAACGGCTTCTCGAACAAGGAAAAATGTTGGACAGGATTTGAAAGCAATTGATTGGATGGTTGTGGTTTGCTATTGCCGTTATGTCATGTGAGTGACGTGTTGTCTCGCCCTCACTCCGGTAAACATCATCAGAGAAGAGATGTCGCTGCAAGAGGAAGGAGATAAAAAAATAAAATAAAAAATATTTATAATATCGATTTCTTGATGACTTTAAGATGAACTGCGATTTATGTGGAATACATTTATAAAAATCAAATATAAAAATGGTGCACATCGACGTTTTATAAATTGTTCAAAGGAGCATTTTAGAAATGGTCGTATGTTCACATTTATGATCATTATACACGTCTTTTTACATTTCTTTATATTTTCTCCCTTAACTTTTGCTTCAAAAGTGGTGAACATTTTGTTTTTGTGCAACCCTTACAAATCTAGCTCCATTTTTAGGAGATGTCGCCTAGGGTTATCTCATCTAAAAAGTTGCATATGTTCCTGCTCATGCATCTTATCTGCCTTTCACCGTAACACTGGTCTGTTAGATGTTGCGTTTCCACAGGATATGAACTTTGTGTTGTTTTGTGTACTTCACATCACCACATTTAAATATAGTTGATCTTGGTTTTAAGTCTTGTGGAGCTCCCTTGGTAATACCCTCTGCCCTCCATCCTGAGAAATGAAGGACTTCTGAGAAGTCCAAGAACAAAACGTCTCACGGGCCCCCCAACATCTCTTGAACTAGTTAATCGTCCTTGTTGGTGCAACATGAGCATTGCTGTTCTTTGTTCTCCTTATTAGTTTCTGAACTAATTTCAGTTTCTTCTGCCACCGTGCAGCTCAGCGTCCTGCTGCCATAGTGTCTGCCACGGCCGGGACCACCAGAGATGTGGTGGAGGTCCCTCTGGACATCGGGGGCTATCCTGTGCTGCTGAGTGACACAGCAGGGTTACGGGACACCACAGACAGCGTGGAGCAGGAGGGCGTCCGGCGCGCCCGTCAGCGGTATGTATTTACGGACACGTGTGGGAAAATCAAGGTAGAATAAACAGTGGGGCATTTTTGCGCAAACAATCCAACGTGATGAATATCGCCATCCTAAAAATGGCCTGTAGAGGGGAAATATCTCTCAAGATTTTTTGCCACTCATTGTGCCTCGCGAGGAGAAACGATCGGTTTATTCACAGATTTAGATAAAGGTGTGTGGCAAATTTTTCACCATTGAATAAACATTGGAGATTATGCAATGCAAACATTATGTGTTTAGTTGCATAATGTTTGCTGACATAAAGAGTCGGTTTAGTTGTAGATCTAGTTATTATTTGGTGCAAGTGGCATTTATTTTAAAGCAAGATAGCATAAAAACACTTTTCAAGCAACATGTTACAAAAGAAGTTTCTTAGGCTTAACATAATAGATGGATGTCAAAATTGAACTCGCGGAAAACTGACAAAAAATTAGGGATAGATTATCCGTTTGACAGGACTTTTTTTTAACCGATATTCACACTTATTTACACTTATTTAAATAATAACTTAAACTTATTTGTATGCTTATTTTGTTTTTTTATTTGCATATTAACTCATATTTTTACAGCTATTCATTCTCAAGTGAGCAATGCATTCATTATATCAATCAAAAGTTTTGAATAATTGCGATTTTTTAAAAAGTTTTTGGAAGAAGTCTCTTGCTCACAAAGGCTGCATTTATTTGTTCAAAATCACAGTAAAAACAGCAATATTGTGAAAAATTATTGCAGTTTAAAATAACTGTTTTCTATTTGAATATATTTTAAAATGCAATTTTTTTCCTGTGATCAAAGCTTCATTTTGAGCATCATTACTCTAATCTTCAGTGTCACATGACCCGTCAGAAATCATTATAATATGCTGATGAATTATTCCAAACCTTTAACCGATAGTGTAGAATTGTAGACAAATCCCAAAACCAAAATTTATTGTGATCATTTAAGACGGAAAACAACATATTGATCATTATGAATTATTGTATGTAATCCAATAATATATCGCTATATCAAGTTTATTCGTTTTATTATTGTCAAATGAATGTTTAGTTTTTAAAATTACAAATTAGAGCCAATTATCATATGAAAAATAAAGTTAATTCTATAAAACGTTTTAGCATAAATTGTTTCCGGATAGTCCGGAAAACATTGTTATGCCCATCTAAAAGTGTCCAAATACTGTTTGCCATCCCTGCATATATTAGGCCTCATCACATTTTACCTTTGTTTGTTGTGATGAATGACTGTGCAGTATGCTGTGATTTATTAAAGAGATGGCATACACAGGAAGTGGCCACTTTGTTTCTACGAGGTCAAAGGTTGTAAGATGCTGACCAGGCTCAGGAAACAGGCTTAAGAAATGACCTTCCTCTGCTGCCCACAGGGTGGAGCAGGCAGATCTGTCTCTGGTGGTCGTCGACTTGACGCAGCTTCCTTCTGAGCCCCAGCTAGTGCCTGTCTTCCTCAGTGGACACTTGAAGAACATCCTGGAGCCCTCATCTCACAGGCAGCAGTGCATCCTGATCCTCAACAAAAGTGACCTCGGCTCCGGGGAGGACAACCGCAGCATCCAGGCTTCCCTCGAGCGGTCAGCTGATGTTCCTGCTGCATGTTTTTTGTCATGCCACACCAGGGATGGCCTGGAGGATCTCCTGACTTTATTACAAAACAGACTAAAGACTCTGTGAGTGGAACTGGTCAACCCAGAAAGCAGTTCTAGTATTATTGAAATATGATAGACAGATAGATAGACAGACAGACAGACAGACAGACAGACAGACAGACAGACAGACAGACAGACAGATAGAGAGATGGACAGACAGATAGACAGACAGACAGAGAGATAGAGAGATGAATAG